ACATATTATAGTAACTTTCTCATATACAAAATACTTTTATACCAAAAGTTGATTTATGAGTTATTTGGCATTTGCTGTGTTTTTATTTTCTTCAGATGTGTTATTATAGCTTCAGGTTAAACTGGGGTAATCCATAATGTGTCCAGAAAGGAGAAAAAGGAGCAAGAAAAAAAAAAACAAACAAAACAGCCATCTGGGGTTGCTAGTAGCTTGGATATACCTTCTACCCTTTGGGGAGCTTCCTTTATAATATAGATCTGCCATATCAACACCCAACATAGTATTGTGAATATAGTAGGTATTTCTGTGCCAGTAAACTTAACAAAACACACTACTTATTTTCACCCATAATAAGGGAATTCTTTTTAGTCATTCTCAAAATGAGTGGCACAGTGTAGTTATTAGTAGCAACTTTGTTATTAAAGTATACTGAAGACAGGGTGCCTCGGTGGCTTCTTGGGAAAAGCATCTTGACTCTTGATCTCAGGGTCATGAGTTCAAGCCCACATTGTAGAGCCTACCTAAAAAAAAAAAAAAATGGTGCACAGAAGGCAACTTGATAACCAGAAACATTTCTGAAAAGTAACCAAGCTCATAGAGGTGAGAGATCAGTGGTTGCCAGAAGTAGGGGATAGCGGAGTGGAAGAAATGAGTGAACTGTTTTTTCATTTGGGTTTTGTGTTTTGGGTTTGATTTTGGGCAGGGGGGGTTTGGTTTTATTTTTTTCAGTTTAAATAAATCAAATAATTTTTTTAAAAGAAACCATAGATTCTATATTTATTAGACAAATCTTAGGACACTCAAATGCCCGTATCAGGAAGTGGTCATATTCCTTATATAGGAGTATATATAGGAGATAGTTATCTTTCTCCTGACAGAATTATAAGTAATTAACAGGAATCAGAAAAATAATATGACCTAAATTATCTGCAGCTTCTGTTTATACTTTGAAAATTTTCAGTTATTATCAAAATATAATTTAATAAAGCAAATTAAACATGGTTTTTGAAACTTCTTTAATCCTTTCAGAATATGGCATTTCAGGCTGAACAAAAAATAAAAGCCGATATTTTACGAAGCTTGAGTACTGAACAGCTATTCCGGTTATTATCAGATTCAGATTTGAATGTGCTGATGAAGACATTGGGACTTCTTAGAAATCTCCTCTCTACTCGGCCTGTAAGTAAAAGTTTCCACATTAGCTGCCCTGCATATGTAGTACAAAATATTGTTCTCCCTCACTTCTCCCATCAACATCTGCCCAGAAGTGTGATTCAAGTACTGTCCCTTACCAAGAAGAAGTCGATATCTAGATCTGTCACCTTCATAGGTGATCTGGGAACTGCTTTACCATATAGCCACCTGACCCTCCACTCTTGCACTGCCTGTTCTGTCTCCCTCTCCTTACTCCATGGTGGATATGAGCCTGCCTTGATTTGTTACTTCGTTCTTACTTGGTTTGCTGGCCAGAATGTGTTTTCTCATATGCCTAAATCACTCATCCCTGGGGCCTCTGCTTCTTTCCCTTTAGAGAATCCTTCTCAATGTTATTCCATAGACCAATCCCCATGCTGCCAACATTTAGTAAATTGACTCTGAAGATGTCAGTGTGGAAACAGTGGTTATATATCAAAGCAGGAGAGGCTGAACCTGTTTCTGGGATCCCTCTTGTAGTTCCCTGAGCCTACCTGAAGTCAGTGGCCTTCAGGTAGATGAAGAAACATGGGTGGTTCCTTTGTGCTTCACTTGTTTTCTGCGCCTTCTTCATTCATTTGTACTGCAGGGTGTTAGTAAATCTGTGCCCTATTTTCCATGTCTCTGGTTTTTTCGCCCTTTCCCCATCTCTTTTTATTTTTATTTATTTATTTTTAAAGATTTTATTTATTTATTTGACAGAGATCACAAGTAGGCAGAGAGGCAGGCAGAGAGAGAGAGAGGAGGAAGCAGGCTCCATGCTAAGCAGAGAGCCCAATGTGGGGCTTGATCCCAGCACTCTGGGATCATGACCTGAGCCGAAGGCAGAGGCTTTAACCCACTGAGCCACCCAGGCGCCCCTCCCCATCCCTTTTTAGAGTTCGCTTTTCTTTAAAATCTTTGGGTTTGAGGATTCTGTATTGAAAATATAATTCTGTATTCTATCAGGCCAAGTCTGTTATTTTTAAACTTCAAGTCATAAATACACACACACACAAACACACACATAGAAAGCAAAATGCAATTTTATGCTATAATAAACACTATTTTTTGGCATCTAGTTCTGTATGCTGTGGTTTCTCTTTCAAGCAGTTGTGTATTATATTGTTTAACTTAGAAGCTTTCTTTTCCTTTCTGTGATCTTTTTCTTTGTTCCCCAGATAATAACTGTGGATTTCCCTTGTTTTTGCAGCATATAGATAAAATAATGAGTACTCATGGAAAGCAAATTATGCAAGCCGTCACACTTATTCTGGAAGGGGAGCATAACATTGAGGTCAAAGAGCAAGTATGTGCTCCTTTTTTATTATTATTAATTATTTTTTTTCCTGAGAAGTATCTTCTGAGTGTGAATACAAAAAAGGATCTTCATTAGGAGTCTCCTGAAATATTCAGATCTGTGAAAGACAGAGTGCTGAGATAAAGGTGCTATAGAGACAAGAAAGATTTGAGGAGAAAGATCTTCCACCACCCCCAAAACTATTCAAGAATTCTTCCTCCCGGAATAGAAGAAAATATTACCAGAGTCTATCGTTTCACCCTCCGTGTCATGCACTGTACACACTGTCCCTGTCTCTATAGAGATACCACCTTTGATCATCCTAGACTGAGTCCACTCTCTTGGATTCATCATTTCCAGCTTTCTATATCCACCATGCTCTGAACTCCTTATTCCTATAACACCCTGATAAAGTAATCCCTTATGCTGGAGTTTTCATTTTTTTACTCAAATGTTCTTCATTCCTATCCCATACTTCTACTTTCTCTTGTCTTTTAGTAGGGCAGGTTTGGGATAGGCATAAAAATACAGAGGCTATGCATTCATCCAGGAACAGTTTTAGAATTACTTTTCTATATTTTCTGGGATTTATTACAGCATTTTTAACATAGTATATGTTTTGTCATAAAGAGAAAGGTCACCTACAAACTTAAATTTCTGATACAAGATCTGAGGTAGTGCTAATGTTCAACTTTCTGACATAAATGCTAGCTATATAATGTGTTCACTTCAGAATTCATTGAGCTGTGTACTTATATGTGTGGAGGAAACTTGCCCAAGGTCATCAGTGGGGAGTTGAACTTAGAGTCTAGCTGCAGGCCTGTACTCTGCATTCTCTGTGTTCCTGAATTAGAGTAATTCTGCAATCTTCAGAAGAAAAGTCCAGGAAGTAAGAATGGTAGGATATAGGAGCTGTAATTGAATTTGTGATCAAAAAAGGCAATAGATTTGACAAAGTGGTTTTAAGGTGAACATTTTAGGTGATTTCCCTTAAAATTCAATAATAAACAACCATGTTTTCTGATGAACAAAAATTTAACACAGAAAAACTATAATCTCAAGCATCCCTAATACTAGGTTGAACATATCCATTATAGGACCACAACAGTGAAGAAGATCCATTGCTCAAAATAAACTGTTCTGCCTGGGGATGCCTAGGTGCCTTAGTCGGTTAAGTGTCTAATTCTTTTTTTTTTTTTTTTTTTTTTTTAAGATTTTATTTATTTATTTGACAGACAGAGATCACAAGTAGGCAGAGAGACAGGCAGAGAGAGGAGAGAGGAGGAACCAGGCTCCCTGCTGAGCAGAGGACCCTGGGATCCTGACCTGGGATCATGACCTGAGCTGAAGGCAGAGGCTTTAATCCACTGAGCCACCCAGGCGCCCCAAGTGTCTAATTCTTGATCTCAGCTCAGGTCTCAGTGTCAGGGTGGTGAGTATAAGCCTCACATCAGGCTCCACGCCCAACTGTTTTATTTAAACTATTTTACCTGAAGAGCATAAGAATGAATTTTGTCTATAAAATGGCTCACCTAGATAGAATTCCTCTGACTTGAAAAGTGAAGCAAGGCAAAAGGGTAAGGCAGGATTTGAATGAAGGCAAAAAAGAAAGGCCAACAACAGTAATATGTTCTGACAGGACTCAAATTATACTCTTTCATACAGATTTTGGTCATGGTCCAGAAGTAGGTGATGATGGGGAGGCTTAAACTATCTGGTTGTTAGCTGGAAGTTTAATTCTTCCCAGACACCGTGATAATTCAGATTTTTTTTTCCTTGAGGTATACTGACATGCAATAAGCTACATATATTTAAAATATATACTGTGATATGCTGACATATGTATATACCATGAAATAATCACCACAATCAAAATAGTGAATGTATCTGTTACTGTCCTTATATTGGGAAAAAGACATGTCCATTGTTACCAGTCTTCTTCAGCAGCATACTGGAGTTGCTACCAAGTGCAACAAGACAAAAAGAAATAAAAGGCATATAAATTGGAAAAGAAGAAATAAAATTATTCCCAGACAACATGAATGCCTATGTACAAAATGCCATGGACTCATCAGAAAAAGCTAGAAGTAATCAAGGAATTAGCCAAGGCCACAAGATAGAAAAATCAACTGTATTTTTAATACATTAGCATGAACAAGTAGAATTTGGAATTTTAAAAACAGTACCATTTATAGTAGCTCAGAAAAAATGAAATACTTGTGTATAAGTCTCATAGAGTATGTGCAGGATCTCTGTGCAGAAAACTGCAAAACGCTGATAATGAAAGAAATCAAAGACCTGAATAAGTGGGGAGATACACCATATTAAAATGTCATTATTATCCTTTACATATGTTGTTGGATTCAATTTACTGAAATTTGGTAAGGAATTTCACATCTATATTCGTGAGAGACACTGATGTTTAGTTTTCTTGTGATGTCCTTGTTTGGTTTTGATACTGATATTTGATTATGGAGATAATGCTTGCCTCGGGAAATGAGGTGAAGGCATTCCTCCTCAGTTTTTTCTAAGAATTTGTGAAGCATTGGTATTCTTTCTTAAATTTTGGTAGAATGTACAAGTGAAGCCATCTGGAACCTGGTGTTTCTTTTGTGGAAAAGTGTTTAGCTAAAGCAAAATAAGTCAGTCAAGAAAGACAATCATCATATGATCTCACTGATATGAGGAATTTGAGAAACAAGACAAGATCGTAGGGGAAGGGAGGGAAAAATGAAACAAGATTAAACCAGAGAGGGAGACAAACCACAAGAGGCTCTTAATCTCAGGAAACAAACTGACGGTTGGGGGGGGGGGGGGGGGGGGGAAAGATGGGGTGGCTGGGTGATGGACATTGGACATTGGGGAGGGTATGTGCTATGGTGAGAGCGCTGTGAATTGTGTAAAACTGATGAATCACAGACTGGTATCCCTGAAACAAATAATACATTATATGTTAATTTTTTTTTAAAAATTAGAGGGAAAACCTAGAATGAACGGTAGACAAATGATTTTTATTAAATGAAATTTTCAGTATAAAAAAGATGTTTAGCTAATTTGTTTCTTTTATAGAAATAAGACTACTCAGATTATCTTTCTTCTTGTGTCCGCATTGGTATTTTGTGTCCTTCAAGAATTTGTCCATTTCATCTTTTTCAAATTTATTAACATAAAATTGTTTACAGTATTCTCATTATCTTTTTAAGGTCTATAGCATTCTTTGCAATATCCCCTCTTTTGTTCTTTATATTGATAATTCCTTTTTCCCTCGTCAGTGCGGCTAGAGGTTTATCAGGTTTGGTTTTTTTTTTAAATCTTTTCAGAAAAGCAGCTTTTGGTTTCATTGATTTTCCCCCCCTATTTTCTATTTCTCTATTTCAGGAATTGGCAAACTGTTTCCACAAAGGGCAAGATAGATGTTTTAAGTTTTGTAGGCCATTCAGGCTCTGTGGCAGGCAGCTACTTAACTGTGCCTGAAAGCAGGTATAGACAATATGTAAGCAAGTAGGCATGGCCATCTTCCAGTAACGTTCTGTTTATTACACAGAGAGCGGGTTGGATTTGGTCCACAGGCCATAATTTGCCTATCCCTACTCTATCATTGATTTCTAGTTGTTCACCTGAGTGTGTAAGCATGGACATGTGTGTGTGTGCTGTGTGTGTAGCTTTTTTCTCTGCTCCCTAGCTTATACGTTAAATTGGCTTAGCCCAAGAACTAATTGATCTGTTTACCAATTTTGTAGTAAGGGTTGTGGGGCCTTAGAAAGAACTGTAGCTCATGCTGCCATGCTGTTCAAACCTGAGGATGCATGGGTATATTCTAATACTCCAAGAAGGGGAATCACTTGCCTGTCTTGCTAAACAAGTCTATTCTCAGAAATATTTCATGAAATCCCCCTCATATTCTGTCTTAGTGGTTAAGAGAGGGATATCTCTTCCCTAGATGAGGCTAAAGATGTTTGTCACTCCTTCCCCTCCCAGAGGCAGCTTTTTTTTTTTTTTTTTTTATTGATTTTTTTTTTTTTTGGTTCAAACCTCAGGACTCACTTCTTAATCAGTGTATTAATCTAGGAAGAATAAGACCACACACTCTTTACATTTGAGGCCTCAGGCCATAGTAAGAAAACAATCTCATCAATTAGGTATAATCTACAAGCTTAATTAGCTTAAGTCTACCAAAAGAAAGGTTAAGTTTGGAGAAAATCACTTGAATTTAGACCCCATTCCCACTTCCTACCAGTTTCTTTGAGTGGTTCCTTACTGTGCTCCAGGATTCAGTGTCACTTCCACCAAGAAGCCTTCCCTGATCTTTGCATTATCAAACAAGTGCAGTATCAAACAAGAATTAATTAATATTACAAATTAATAGCCTGTTTTTCCTCTGTCACACCACAGTGAAATGTAATTGTGTGACCACTTCAAGATTAGGTAGTGTGTCTTATTCCTCTCTGACCCTGATACCCTGCAGAGTACATGCACATTGTAGGTGCTCAGTAGATATTTGCTGAATTGCAAAGACTGACACTGGCTCAGTATCCTTTACACAGTCCTTTCACCTTTACATTGCCCTCCTGCTAGTCTGGCTATGAGATTCCCAACAGCTGACAGGAAAGTCCCCCCAGTACCAATGTGGTGATTATCTTCAAGTCACGCTGTCTTGCCAAATGTTATAGTCTCCCTCCAGTCTCATTAGGCCAAGCTTGACTAAGCTCCTTCACATATTTTCCTTACCTTTCTGTTCCTCTAATCAGGTTTTTAAAAAGTCATGAAATCCTAAATGTACATGGCTAGTGGACCAGGGTACAGGCCTTCACCCAGAAGGTCATGAGCTCAGGAGCAAGAAGCATTTGGAGGTGGAGGGAGGGAGTTTCAGCACCTATGATGCTTCCACCAAAAAGACTACACTTTTGAAGAAACCTTGTTGGGTTAATAACAAGTTTCTTTTAGAAATGAAATAATAATAATTCACGTTTTCCTTTTGATTGATATATATATAAAACATAGCTGCCTTTACCCAGTGATGCCCCAAAAGAAACTACTGAAATGTTTGGGTTCTCTTTTGCCTAAGGTAGACTTTTCTTGGCAGTAATGTCAGGAGATAAGAAATTAGAGCATTCAGAATAGAACCTGTGAGAATCCATGTGCTTCAGGTAGAAATTGCCCAAGTTCTTGAGAGAGCTTGCATCTGGAGACTTCAGAGCTTTCCTGATCACCGGCCCTTTGTTCTTTTCCAGACACTGTGCATCTTAGCCAACATAGCAGATGGAACAACAGCAAAAGAACTTATTATGACCAATGATGACATCCTGCAGAAAATCAAGTATTACATGGTAGGCCTTTGTCCCTTTCACTGCTCTGTGGTAGCTGCATTAAAAGGCTCAAAACAAATTGTGCAGAGATTTAAAAAAAGAATAGACTACTCTGTAACAGATTCAAGGAACTCTCTTTCATCCCGAGGAAAAAGAAACAGACATGAAGGCCTTGAAGCTTGTGCCATTTGGGCAGTATTACCACCCATTCATTGCCCCACTCCCTGCCTTCATTTTTTCCTGATTGCCTCCTTAATCAGTGAAGACTTGGGATCTTGGTTTTTTTTTCAGTGTATCCATATCCCTGTCTTCCCTCTCAAGGCTTCTATATGATGTACATTACCTCTTAAACCCTCGGCACCTCTGGCACTTGTTCTTTGACCTGTTTGCTTGCAAACACAGTCTGCTACCTACTTGCAAACACCTCAGCCACCTACTGCCACAGCTATCCTATGGATCTTGTCATCACCAGAAACTGCCCATTGCCAAACCTGGCAATCTTTTCATTCTGTCCGTGTCTCCTAGCAAAACCATAGCTGTGGGTGAATCTGTCTTCTTTTTGCCTGACTGTCAGCAACTGCAGAGAAAGGCATAGAACCAGCCTGATTGGTTTCATGTTAATTTCCTGTTTACAAACCGCCTGTGGGTACTCAGCACTGCTTACTACCCACTTGTGATTCTCCTGCAAGCTGACACCTCCCTTCTCCTTGAGAATGGGTTCTTACCTTCTCATTCTTTAAACCTTGAGTTTTCTCTCCCTCATCACTGTTAGTGGTGACCTCACCTTTTGTTTTGTTAAGAGAATAGAAGCCACAGTCCATCAGTGGCTCCCTTTTGCACCTTGAATACATCCATATCCCCCTTGTGATGACCTGTAAAGTCTTGCATGACCTGACTCATCTGTATCCTAGCTCCTCTCATTCCCCTTATCTTTGTTCATTACACTGACTCCTGTTCCTTGAAAAGGCCATGCATGTTTTTTTCTGTCTTAGGACCTTTGCACATGCTGGCTAATCTGCCTGGAACACTTTTCTCCTCTACTCCTTCACGGCATGCCTTTTCATCTCTCAGATCTGAGCTCAACTGACACTTCCTTGTGGGCTCTTATCTATGTGAGTTATTCATTGTTATTGCATTCTGTTCCCTTTGGAGCAGTAGCTCAGTTATAGTGATACACATGTGTTTGTTTGTGTGCCTGAGTGTAAGTTCTATGAGGGCAAAGCTTAATGTGTTTTGTGCACATTTTTGTATGTCACCTTGGATGATGCCTGGAATTTAGGATGTACTTAGTAAATATTTGTTGAATGAAAACCTTACTGCTTCTACAAGGAACTCTCTATCTTTCCAATACCAGATCCACGTAGCCTCCCTAATCTTTTCAGAGTTACCTTGATTTCCCATATCCACTGAGATATACCTATTTCTGTGCTGCTTTTCAGAGCCAGACTTCTTAAAAGTGTCTTTTGCACATGCTGTCTCCTTCCTCACCTTTAAATTTTTTCTAACCCATTTCGTCTGGCCTGCACTATCATCGGTCAACTGAAACTTCTCTGCTTAAGATCTCCAGTGACCTCCATGATGCCACATCCAAAGGACCATTTTCTCTCCTGATCTCACCTCACTTACAGCAGCCTTTAACACAGCTGACCATTTCCTCCTCCTGGAAACATTCCTTTTTCTTGGCTTTCAGTACACCATCCCTCACTGCTTAGCCCTAGCCCCTCTTCTTTTCTCTCCTACACAGCCTCCTGAGGTCTGTGATCTTTGTTGCACAATGGCATTTTCCAGGGAGTTTTCAAAGATGATTGCCTTGTCCCTTTCCTTTCAAGATTCTGATTTAATAGGTCTGGGTTATAGCCTGGACATCAGGGTTTTTAAAATTTCCCCAGGCAGGGTGCATGGATGGCTTAGTCATTTAAGTGTCTGCCTTCAACTCAGGTCATGATCCCAGGGTCCTGGGATTGAGCCCCTAATCAGGCTCCGTGCTTAGTGGGGAGCCTGCTTCTCCCTCTCCCTTTGCCCTTCTTCCCACTCATTCTTTCAGTCTCTCTCTCGCCCTCAAATAAATAAATAAAATCTTTAAAAATATTAAAGTTCTCAGGCAGTTCTTATGTACAGCTAGAGTTGAGAACCACTGTTTTAGGAGAATCTCATCCACTCCCATGGCTTTTACTATCAACTCTATGCTTTTTTGGTTTCTGGGTTCTGGTCTTGTAGTCAGTTTTGATAAATAGAATAAGCGTTACAGTATTTACACTTTCCATAGCATCGTCAATAGAAAACACCACCACAATAATGGTTACTGGCCTTCAAAAGCCATGA